TCTTTTAAAATATTGGAATTTAATATTTTAATATTTAATTTTCATTTATTTTATAAATGTCCTTTTATAAATGAAAATTAAATTTAATTAAATTCCAATATTTAATTTTAAATATTGGAATACTTTGTCATTCTTTTTGTACTTTGCCATTTTCTGTTTTTCTTCAAAAATTTGGTTCTGTAATTACATACACAAATTTGTTCTATTTCTAGGAGGTGATTCATTTTGCTTTGAGACTGGAACTCATCTAAAGCAACTACACTCTTTATCTGTTTTGCATTTTGATCAGCCTTTCTGTCTTTCTTTCTAAAAATTATTCTCCCTGAGAGAAAAGTTGGAAGCAAAATAAAATTTAATTAGTTCTATTTCCTTCCTGTCATCTTTGGCATATCATGTAGCCAAGCTGTGACCCTAACCTTTCCCTATTCTAAGCTCTAGAGTTTAGACACGATTGAAAAATGGAAAAATGGTTTGTCATGGACATCCAGAGTGGGTTCTTTTTGTGAATTCTTATTAGAGAGCTAGATAATTTTAGTATGGAAAGGTATACCCTTAGTATCTCTTGAGTTATATAAAGCATCCTACTCACATTTGACTTACGTTGTTTTGTTTCTTAATTGTCAGTTGTTAATTTTTCTTGTCAGTGACTTTATATTTTATAACAATATAAATCAGTGGCTTAGTGTTTATATTCTGCCACATAGGAAATTGATGGACATATAAAACTGTTTTTCTTCCATTTTTAACCTGACCGTGCGTTGCTGTCTAACAAAATTCACATCTGCCATTTTATTTCCTGTAGCTCACACACATTAAGTTCCCAGTTTCAGCAGCAGATGTCTCCCATGAGCTGTTTAGGTTTTGCTGAGCTCTTTACTACATAGGATAGTCACATTCAACTAGTGAGTTGTTTAAGTGTTTTCTACTTCTAAGTGACCATTCTTAGTTCTCTTTTCATAAAATGAATCTTTAAGAAGTAGGAACTGGAAAAAAATTGTCTACATTTTGTCTAAAACTTATTTTATAAATGGAAATTAATCGACTTATTTAAGGAGCCAGAGTTAAAATCCTCTGTAAGTTCTCTAAGTCTTAGTTTACTGTCATTTCCCTAGAGTGAGAATTTTTTAAAGTAGAAGAAACCAAAGTTCTCATTTTTTTTAAGATAAGGAAATTGAATTCCAAAATGTTTAACAAAACTTCCCACTGCCATAAAGCTAAATGATAGAACTGAGATTCTAAACAGGTCTCATGATAGACCAGTGCTTTCTCCACTATGCCAGAAAGAGCACTTTCTGAGTGGCTCTGATAGAACAGCTTTATTCTCAAATTTCCTCATTAACTTTAATATTTGAAAAGTGTCTGTACTATCTCCTAAGACTAGTACATGTTTTCTGAAGTGATATCATTTACTATCTTAGCATACCCTCCATCTTTTTTCCTCACTTTGATTTCCCTTTTAAAATGAATTTGTGGACATTTGGCCTTGTACCATGTTTTAAGGGTTTATTTCTTCATAATTTTTAAAAACTTCTTTTTAGGTATACTTATTAGCTATGAATACTAAAAAGTTGTTAGTAAACACATATTTGTACTTCAGCAACTAAGATAAAATTGTCTTTGTGTAAAATTATCATGTATATAATCTCCTTTATTCGTAGGATAGTCCAGGGCGTTACAGTATTTTACTTCTTCCTTCTGATATTTGTGGATTGTCATTTGTTCATAATGCTTATAATAAAAGTAATTTGGTAACTATTCTTGCCTAATTGAAATGAACATAGTACATTAATTTTTTATCTAAATAAATGTTCTCTAGTGGAACATCTAATAAATAAGTGATGGGCCCATGGTTAGTACTTTCGTTAGCAGATTTTATTATTATAATAACTCTGTACAGTGCTGTTCATGGTATTGACTTCTTAAAACTCATTTGGAAGTGAGTAGAATCTGAATTATTTTTAACTTGACACTGGAAAGGAAAATGAAGAAAGCCAAAAGAATTAGTCTTTATATACCTTCAGATTAAGTTGCTGTAATGAACAAATTGATAATCTGATAATGGACATTTCTTAAAATTAGTCTTGGTGGTCCATTGGAAGTTGCTATGAGTTAAGCTGTTATAATATGAAATTAAATGTTTCTCAGTGTATATATTCATATGATTTTAGATAGGGATCTTGCAAGATGAACAACAGATTCTTGGTGCAGCTATTCTTTTTGTTTGTTTTTGTTTTTGTTTTTGGTTTTTTTTGAGACAGAGTTTTGCTCTTGTTACCCAGGCTGGAGTGCAATGGCGCAATCTCAGCTCACCGCAACCTCCGCCTCCTGAGTTCAAGCAATTCTCCTGCCTCAGCCTCCCGAGTAGCTGGGACTACAGACACACGCCACATGCCCAGCTAATTTTTGTATTTTTAGTAGAGACGAGGTTTCATCATGTTGACCAGGATGGTCTCGATCTCTTGACCTCGTGATCCACCCGCCTCAGCCTCCCAAAGTGCTGGGATTATAGGCGTGGGCCACCGCACCTGGCCGATGCAGCTATTCTTTAGACCACACAAAGTAATACCTTGAATATAAAAATGTTACATCATCATTGACCCTTATAATTTGAAGAAACCCCCATAGTCAGCCAATTACCACTAAATGCATGATCATCTTTACAACATCCCCATTCACAATTCTATATAAATTTGATACATATTTTCTGTATGATATTCTCTGGTTTTGCCCCAGTATCTTTGTGTTTCTCTCTTTGTGCTGTGACTTTTCTTCACTTTATTTTTGTCATTTTCATTTTTTTCCTACACCTTTGTTTTCTTCTTTCCATTAATTGGCAGTAACATGGAATCGAATGAAAGGTTTTTTTTTTTTTTTTTCCCCAAAGTTATTCTAAATACCTATAATCTGTTTCTTTTCTTCTGAGGTAATAATATTAACTAGAGTTCTTTTGTTACATAAGTGTATTTAACTGCTGAGATTTTTTTTCAAATGATACATCTCTTTATTCATAAAATGAAAATACCAGTTCTGTATCTTTGTGGCTTGGTTGTACTTTTCAAAAATAGTCGATAGTCGAGTTGTGTTTCACTTTCTAGAATATTCTGGAAATAGTAGCGTGTTCTCGTTAACTATAGAAAGATCTCTGAGTTAATTGTAAGCAAGCGCTAGGTGTGGTGACTCACACCTGTAATCCCAGTACTTTGGGAGGCCAAGACAGGCAGTTAGCTTGAGACCAGTAGTTGGAGACCAGGCTGACCTGATCTCTACTAAAAATACAAAACTTAGCCGGGTGTGGTGACAGGTGCCTGTAATCGTAGCTACTTGGGAGGCTGAGGCATGAGAATAGCTTGAACCCAGTAGGTGGAGGTTGCAGTGACCCAAGATCACGCCACTGCACTCCATCCTGGGTAACAGAGTAAGACTCCGATCTTAAAAAAAAAAAAAAAAATTGTAAGCAAAGAAATTTTTCTTAAGGATTTGACACTAAATAGTTTATAGGTACTGTGGCTAATTCTGTAGGTGTGCATATGTTTAGGTGCACAAATTTGGAGGCAATACAAAGCATGTGGGAAGATAATTCTTTTGATCTAGATTGTTGTCTATAGGTAGAGCTTCGGCAATGTGATTGCCTGCCAACTCTTGTATATAGATTTCCTGAAACAATTATGTATGCCTTCAGATGCATAAAATACAGAATTTGGAATACCATCATTGTGATAACTGAAAACTTAATCTCACATACCTTGGGAAGACTATAAATCTTAAAATACACCAAATTTGTCAGAGATCAGAACCAAAAACCAAAATAGAAAATGATTTTTTTAAGGAATGTAAATTATTTTGCCTCTTATGTGAGATAACCACCCCTATACTGCTGAAAAATCTTACGCTAATAATGAAACGTACCTAAAGGTTTGATGGTTTAGGAATTAAATTTGTACAATGTACTCTTCCTAGCAGATTATATATAGCCAGTAAGGAATCATAACAGATCAGGACTTATGTATTAGAGCCATATTCTAGCTAAGGATTCTGCTGCTGTGAGAATATATGCCTCGTTCACTTACGCTAAGATTCTTCGTAACCAATACATTTATTGAGGTAATTATCCTAAAATGAGTTGCCTGCAGAAGGACAGCAATAGAGTTATAGGTTGAGGCACAAGTATTGGTGAACCTGAAAAGGAATAGCTAAGGTATGAACTATGTTCACTGCAGACTCTGTAGCCTAAATTTGCACTTACAGCAGGAGCATTAAAATATATATCAAAAGTAGATTGAATTTTCTACCATTTACTTAGTGCCTACTATGTACTCATCCTCATAAGAATTGTATAAAATGTAGATGAAAATACTGGGGCTTGAAGAAATTAAGTATTTTTTCTAAATGTAATCAGCTGTCTGGTAAGTGGCACAGGTTGAACTCATTCTCTGGTCTAACTGTGCAAAATAAATACTGAAAGGGTGAACAAAAAATTTTGTGGTGGAAGTTCACTTGAGTCACTGAACAAGCATAGATGGGCAGGCATGATCTTACTTACAGTTTGTATCCCTGATTAAGGTCCCATGCTTGTGCGTGATAATTAATATCTTTAAGGACGATAATATGATTCAGGTACCCAAGAGCTATTTTATTTGCTTTTTCCTCCTTCTCCAGTAGACCTACCTGTGCTGAGTAGATGCCCAATATCAGCCTTTTAACAGTTCCAAGTTCCTTTTATTTTGTGTGATATCCAGCTACTATCCTCTCTATCCCTTCCATCAAGACAGTTTCCTCATCAAAGGAAAATTATGACTACATTCAACTAAATCAGACTATAAATGGCAATCTTAACTCACCTCCTGGTGTGATCACTGTTTTGTGCGCTTATTTTTAGCTCTGTGTTCCTTTTGTTCTGTACCATGCTTTACGCTTTTAAGGCCTGGAAGGCAAGGCTAATGTTTTGTTTTATTTCATTCTTAGAACAACTTTGCATATAATTAAGAACTGAATAAATTTTATGATGACAGTGTTTTTTTTAAAGCCTGTAATTTATTGATTTGATTTTATTTCATTTGAATACCTTAACATTTAACCAGAGTGCTGGATTGTTTTCATTTGTAGCTATACAAAATTATTTTCCTCATGGAATAATTTTGTCCGAATGAGGAAAACTGGATATTCTTAATAGTTAACTCTTAGGTTAAAGAGATGATTTGATATATGACATAAAATTCTTTATATAATATATTCTTGGTGCGTTTGCATCTCATTTATCATCTTACTCATCGTGTTTGATGACAGCTGTGCCAGTTCTGCTATACATAACTACCTTGTTCCTCAGTTTTGTCACCTTCATTTTCAGTGAGGAGAAGTGTATCTAATAGTATGATTGATGAAGACTGAATGGTTGAACTTCGGAGCCTCATTGGACTCTGGTACATGGCAGGATTAATCCCATTTCGAATTCCATGTTTCTTAAAAAACTTAGAGTTCTCTGCCATTGGATTCTGGAAGTAGATTTTACCAGAGTGTTTTCTAAGAGCTTTTACTGATTTTGTGGCCCGGTAATTGCAGGTGATGTATCGGCCAAATGCATCCCGAAATGTCTTGTTGAAGAGGGTGTAGACCAAAGGATTCACTCCTGAGGAAACATAGCCTATCCACACAAATATCTCCAGGAGCATTTGGAGAGTAGTTTGGTTACAGGAATCACATAAAACTAAAGTTACATTTGTAATAAAGAAGGGACACCACATAAGCAAAAAGAGGAAAAACACAATCCCTAGGACTTTTGAGGCTCTCTGTTCATTGGAAATGGTCTGCACTGACTTTTTTCCAATTGTAGACATTCTTCGCATAAGAATTTCATCACTTGAGTTGGGCAGAGCCTTGTCCTTCCGAGAACCATCCAACATTGCCACCTTTTCAGGTGATGAGCAAGGTGTTTCATCCCTTTGGAAAACTGTAGACACGGTCAACCATGTTAGGCGTTGAGGTGGCTTGTTTTTGGCCAAGTAGGCTTTCTTCTGTAAAGCATGGATAGTGAGAAAGTAGGTGACAATCATAATCGCAAGAGGTGTAAAGAAGGCAGCCAGTGAGCCAAAGAGCCTGAAATTGCCAAAACGTTCCTTTGTCAGCACACAAGTGATATTGTTTGGGTTATCCACATCAGTCTCTATCCCTTTAATAGGGACAGGAATGGCAATGCCTAAGGAAGAGGAAAACAGGATAAACGAAGTCATTTTTATGACCTGTATGCACTCTTAAGATTAGATCCTTTTAGATTCATCCTTAAAACTTTATACTTGTTAGTGCATTGTAATACCTGGGACCCACAATGCAGGATTTGTCAAAGCATTCATGAGTGAAGATTTCACAAACAGAACCCAAGCCCCCCAAAGCTGTAGTATATCCATGATATGGTGGAGAATGTCTTCATTTATTCTACATTTCTCATAATCTATTTTTGTTTTTTAAGCTATCTCAGATTAAGGAAGAGAAATTCAGAAGAGAAACTGCTTTTTTCTTAATATCCAGTGTAGTTGATCTAGAGGGACTTCAGAGTACATTTATTCAGTATCTTTATTTTATCTTTGAGGTTACAGTTTCATTTAACAGTTTTACCTTTTGGTATGTGTGAATGTCTTTTAATCCTTTCATCTAACTTCTCTTTTTTTTTTTTTTTTT